GTCTTTCAGCTTTTCAGCGCTTCCAAAAGGGCTGAAAGCTGAAAGTGGCTGGTGCCCCGATTTTGGGCCGTTTCCGTGGAAACCTCAGCTGAAAAAAGCGGATTTTTTGGCTGAACGGCTGAATCAGGCTCGGTGTTAGAGCTCAGCTGTCTCATTACCGCTGTCTACAACGCGACTTGCATGGCAAAGGCGAAGGGGAGTCAAACCATAGTCATAGATCGCTGTTGGTGACGGCCTGACGGCAACGGAGTGATACTTTGACTTCAGTGGTGGCAAAGTAAGTACTCACGTAAAGCCGTGAGATCCGGACTATTTCATGTGTAGATCTACTACAGACAGTATTACAATTAGTAGTGGGATCTACACAACTCCTTAATCATGACATGAGTGATCTAGACGACTACCTGATCATGACATGAGTGATCTAGACGACTCCCTGATCATGACATGAGTGATCTAGACGACTCCCTGATCATGACATGAGTGATCTAGACGACTCCCTGATCATGACATGAGTGATCTAGACGACTCCCTGATCATGACATGAGTGATCTAGACGACTCCCTGATCATGACATGAGTGATCTAGACAACTCCCTGATCATGACATGAGTGATCTAGACGACTCCCTGATCATGACATGAGTGATCTAGACGACTCCCTGATCATGACATGAGTGATCTACACGACTCCCTGATCATGACATGAGTGATCTAGACGACTCCCTGATCAGGACATGAGTGATCTAGACGACTCCCTGATCATGACATGAGTGATCTAGACGACTCCCTGATCATGACTTGAGTGATCTAGACAACTCCCTGATCATGACATGAGTGATCTAGACGACTCCCTGATCATGACATGAGTGATCTAGACGACTCCCTGATCATGACATGAGTGATCTAGACGACTCCCTGATCATGACATGAGTGATCTAGACGACTCCCTTGTAGATATCGTACATGCAGTTGTATGTAGTACTATGTACGCACGTGCAGGCATGCACGTGCTTGTACCGCTTTATGTATAGCACGAGAGAGATGACATGGCGCACTTCTGATGGAGAACTAAAGAAGATCTGTTTAGCACAATGGCTGTCTTGTGAGTGACTGAATAGATGTCTACATTGGCGCAGTGAACGAAAATGACAAAGGGCAGGACGCCCAAGGAATTTATTCCTGACTATGCTGCGAGCAACGTCGGTGCTGATTTTGAACTCTGGCTAGAGGATAAATAATTTCCTTTCAATCAGTGAAGTGACGGCAGCAGCTGACAAGAAACGCTTGTTCTTGAATCTGGCTGGATTAGCAGTGAGGCGCATTGTGAAAGGTCTGGTTGTCACGGTGGAGCAGACACAAGATGGCTCACCTGGAGATGAGTACCAAGCCTTGACGGACGCATTGTTGGCACACTTTCGACCGTCAACAAATGTCACGTCTGAACGTCACAAATTCTGCCAACTCCGCCAAATGGAGGGCGAGTCGGTGACTTCGTTCGTTGGGCGGCTGAGAGAAAAGGCAGATGTTTGCGAATTCAGCTCCACTTCTGTGGATACCATTGTCAACTGCCAAATTCGAGACCAGCTGATCGTGGGCCTGCGTTCTGTTGAGCTTCGAAAGGAGCTGCTGAAACAGTCGAAGCTGACCCTGAACGACGCCGTCACCAAGTCAGTGGCGTTGGAAGCGTCGATTACTGACAGTAAACTGTACGATAGTACCAGAGCTAGTGACGCACCGCCTGTGTTCCCCGTGCCCATCCAGCGTGTGCAAGCTGTCTCTGCAGCTGGTTCTGGATCAGAG